CAGCGGCACCATCCAATGTTGCTGGAGATTGTATTCTACGCGGCTCAGTATCCTAAAGAGAAAAAAGTACGAGTTAGAACTCATGTAAGAAAAAAAAAACAATCATATTCGTATGTGCGAGTTACTTACAAATGGTGAATTCGGTAGACTCGGATGATGAATACTTGGACTTTGATTCGCGGAAATGATCATAATTTTCCTTTTCAATCTCGATGGACACTTATCAAATATATGAAGAAATTCGTCTGTGAGTTCTTGAAGTAAATCCGCTGTTACAGTTCTATCTACGTACCAAAACCATTGCCTTCCTTCAGTACTTTGTGGTATCTGTGTATGGAAATGATAATTATTAAAAATGTATCAATAAATGTTAATGATTACAGAGAATCAAGACACACATAAATCAACCTGAACAACAAAGACAATACATGTGACATGAATTATTTTATAACTTTTATACTAAGATTATTATTGCATATTAGCATTCTGCAATTTGCGACAATGTTTAAAAGATATATACTTCTCTTACCTCCCAATTGGACCATTTACACGCGAGGTGTATGCAAAAACATGCGACAACTGTCGGTTTATATTGTAGACACATTGTAGTTAAATGTAGGCTGCAAAAGAAAAGAAATCGTATAAAAAACTGCATTGAGCACGTTTAAAACAAGCTTTCGTTATTTAATGATTTTAAAGATTTGCATGTTAATAGGAATCGTCCTAGTGTATAGAAAAATGGCAACACAATCCGTCAAATGAAAACAGTGACTTATTACTATTTTTGCATAGAGATATGCAAAACAAATGTTTTCCAATATCATCGTTTGTAAAAGAGCAAAATTATTTTTATAATTACTATTTTAAATATTACGTATTATTCTAGAAAAAAAAATGAAAACCTCATTCTTTTCCTGGTATTTGTGTATAATTTCGCTTTTGTCCAATATTTTGGAAATTATATCTGCGAAGCTCCTGGGTCGATTATCATTTATGTCTTGGTATTTCACAGAAAATAATAAAATCCAGAAAGTGCTAATACATAGTAATGTAAAAGCAATAAACACTTACCTGTTAGATGCCATAAAGTATGAAGTCTGAGCTAAGTCCTTACTCGCTAAAATATGAAGATATCATTTTAATTCGTTTTCAGCATAACAATTTTGTACTGATATAGGGTTAACAAATATCACAATAGCGAAAAGTGGACAGTGCCTATAGAAAATGCAAAGGTAGTCACATATAAAAGAAAAATTAAAATTTTGTAAACTGAAATTTTAATCATGTACATCTTCTTCATTCCCTTATAATAAAATGTTCAGTATTGTTTTACTCTTATTCTAACTTTACATAACACACACACACACAAAACAAATTCAATTTTTAACATACACTGAAAAGAATGTTATATCAAATTTTATTAAAACAAGAGTATGACATATTTGTATCATTAATAGTCTTATGTGTAAATTAACAAAATTATTTTTAATTGAAATAATGTTGCTATAACATAATCTTTTTCAGTGTATTAATTGATGTTAAAAAAAATTTTTATAAAATTATATTTTTATAATATACTAACTCTCTTAAGCAATTTGCTTGTTACTCAAAATTTCTTCATAAAATTGAAAATATAATTTGAACATTGTATTCTACTTCGAAACTACAGATTAAAATTCAAAATATAAAAATAGAATACTTTTATTGCAAATTTTATTAAAAAGAGAAAAGACAGAACTAAAGATGAAGTTGTAGGACGTGTCCTCTTAAAGTAGTGTTTTGATAACCCTAAATTTAAATTGATATATTAATTATACAAGAACCTAACCTGTACCTTTCACTAATTGACAACATCTAACAACATGGGTGTGTGGATGATCAATGGCAACATCAAATCCTAATGTTTGTAAGAGGACATTTTCGTTGAATACCAGGTCTTGTGCCTGTTCGAGAAATTGCTACAAGTAATACAGCATTAAAATCCATGTTATATAGGTTGTGTTCCAAAATTTACTGCTAGTACTGAAAATCTATAGTTTATATCACGTGCACTATAGATTTTTAATACTGGCAGCAAATTTTGGAACACAGCCATAATAGAATAAATAAAAAGAACATCTTTTATAAATTATATTAACTGTCACAATAGGCTCACCACAAGTGTAGATTTTATCTACATTTACCTCAGACCTAATGTCAGGTGGAGGTTGGTCTCTGTGGAGGCACAAGTGTGCCATTTTGATGACATGTTCTAATTTCCTTGGTTGTTCCTCTACTTTTGCTGCTAAAAAGATTGCTGCCACTGCAATAGCATTCCTGTGGAAGTGCGTCAGCGAATGGAACACATAAAATCGATGCATGTAGACTATAGCTGTATTGATGCATAATTGGGATCTGATTTTTATTTATATTTTATTAAGGAAAATATTTTTCTTAGAAATATTCATAGACATTTGAAATATTTAGGATTAGTTAAGGATAAGGAATACATTTTTGCATATATATTTTCCAATTATATTGATCCTAGAAAGAAAACATTATATTAATTTTCAAGAATGTTCTCTTATTGCAGAAGTATTATGATATAAATATTATAGTACGTTTATTATCCATAAAATTAATACAATTGCAAAATATACACGTATAAAAAAATATTTCTTCAAATAAAAACCCTATATCGCATGATTTTGAAAAAGACATTATCGCACAATCTCTGTATAGTATGAATGAATATTGTATAAACAGAGATGCAAGAAACAGATTCAATACATTGGAATCTTATATATCACATGTAATGTAAACAATTCTACATTGACATAAACAGGATTACTGCAGAAAATGAATTTTGAAATTTCTGATTTTTCCGGGTTTTCCAGATGAAAATGGAAAATTTTTCATGATCAATATAAAATATCTAAATTTTAACATTTATAATAAAGTATTGTAAGAAATCTAGCCTATTACTATTAAAAACAATGCAAAAGAAGTTTAGTAGCATAATAAAATTTTGGGTGCAAATTTGTCAACAAAAAATAAATTAGTATTGAAAAAAAAGAATGCAGCTATGAGGAAAAAGGGTAATCAAATAAATATAAAAATAAAATATAAATTTTAATTATTTTATTATAAATAAAATCATTTAAAGTGCGCGAGTTTTGAACGTATTTGACTATAAATATCAGATATATTTAAAAAATTATAACAATTATTTGGAATAGGAGCAGTTTAAAGGAATTGTGAGCAAATATCAAAATTTCAGACATTTTTACATTTTCTCCTGACTTTTCCCGATTTCCCCGGTTTTTCAGGTCTGTGACAATCCTGATAAATGAATGCGATTAAAAACTATGTAGCACAATATTTTCAATTGGTCAAGTATATACCAAAAACTGTTTGTTCTTTGTGCAAGATTATACATATAATATATATCATATAATGTATAGTCATTGAACAATGATAAAACATTTTGATAATAAAATGTTGAAACATACTGCTATTAAATACTTAGTGTATTCTGCATTGTACACAACCAGGTACCGACAACGGATAGTTTGACTTAATAAAATCCAGAAAAATGAGCATGTTGTTACCCATAGTACTATCTGTATAGACATAGTAAAGAAAAAAAGCAGCCTTTTGTCAAATTATAAAAACAAAGTAACTTAATACAAAGAAAAGGAATTTTTTTTTAAATACTTTTAAAATAAAGGCATCAAAAAATAACAAAAGATCTAGATTGCAATTACTTTAAAATTATTTCTTAGAATTAAATTAAATGGTAAGATCAGAAAATAGAGAGAAGGGATACAATAGTTTTTTATATATAAAATAATTTATTTAAATTTTATTTTCAATTTACAGTCATGTGGGAAAGTTGATTCAATGAATTCGGCTGATTTAAATAATTCTTCTTACTTCTTCCTAACGGTTTAGTTTAGTACTATAAGATACAAGTACTGTAAGGAACAAGTAATAAAATATATATACTTCATTTGTATCGTTAAAAAGAGAAATTCAAGGAATGAAAATATTAACATATTATAGCAAACTTGCTAGATAAAATATAATAAAAAAAAAGCAGGAACTTGTAATATTATGTGAAAAGGATTGATATAAAGTTTCTGAAAGTAAGTTGTAAAAGTCTAAGTCAAAGAGCACAAATTAAACTTTCCACATATTTTTTAATTATCCACATGTATGACTACAAAGATAGTGCTGGATTAAAACTTAAATACGCACTTTTGAAGTTACTAGAACAAATATATTGAAAACCTACTAAGTTTTCTTGTTTAATTGTGCTCGTTACACAAAATACAAATAGATGAAAATAATTAGCAAAAATTACAATATGCATATGCGAAATCTATAAATTAGGTTCGGGACATTATTTAATCTTTTTTTTTTTAAGTCCTCATTCTTTCCTCCAATGTATCTCGTTAATCGATGGTCCTTGCCCAAGCAACACATACGTACACGCATGTGTTCTGAGCAACACTTACGTGTTGCTTAAGGTACTACACTTCCAATCAGCCAAGTTTCGAGCGCGAGGAATTACCAAGGAATTCTCTCGCTGTGGGAATTATCAAGTATCATTTACGGTACCTGTGATATATGGGATTCCAATATGGTGAATCCTCCGTTTTCAGCACATAACCCAATTGTACGGAACGAAATATAAGACGCGTCAGCCGACATCGAGGCTGTCCATGCCTTGAAGAATGGACTTTCGCGTATGGTATTTTGATACTCGCCAGCGGTTGCAAATGCTCGACAAGGAGAGATCAAGAGAAACAGAGAGGTGGGGGGAGGGGGGGGATGTGAGCGCGTGTGTGTGAATCTAGAAGCGTACAGTCGTGGAGAACACGACTAAACGCCTTAACATGCGCGTACCCAGCGTACGATAAAAGGATACACAACAAGCCGTTGTCCCATGTCCTGGATGAAGTTGGCCGCTTGCTGCCGATAGCTCAGCTCCTTGTCCGCGTCGATGCCGCATCTTCTGCTCGGCGTATTTGCAAGCTGTTCCCTCGTGAAATACCATCTTTCGTCAGCCGCCATTTAACGTACACACGATTCACCCGTAAATTACGGGCCTTATAATCCGTAAACGATGCACACTCTTGACGGGATTGTCGCGTGGTTAGAACGATCTAGAAGTGGGGAGGTAGATATCTGAGGGACGAAGTGAGAAACGGCACTTGGTGCATACTCGCTCCGACTCGTGTCACGTCCCGCCACTGCCACGGCGGCTAAAGTCACGCCGCCTCGTTCTCGGAACAATTGCGTACAAATCTCGAAAATGGCGCCGTGGGCGCGAGTGACGCAATGCAATTTACGCGATGCGATGAGGCGAGATTTTTTTAAATGTTACAACAAAAAAAAGAACCAAGCGTTCTCGCGTGTCACACGTGTTACACGGACACGCGTCCCGTGCGTCGAAAGACGCGGACGGAGTCCCAAGAGTTAACCACTCACGGGCTGAAACAGGTTACCTGAAATAATGAGTCTCGATGACTCGCCACTCTCCGCGCAGCACGCTTGCGAGGAAACGCATGCAGCGTCGTAATTGCGACGTCCCGTTAACGTCGGCCGGAGTCAGACATCGTCGTCAAACGTAAATGTACGAGGAAGCGTCCTGTGTTCTCATCCGATTATCATTCGCGTTAATACGCGAGACAATCATCGACGCACAAGGACAAGTCGTCATAACCTTCGGCGTGTCTCGTGGAGGCGATGCGTCGTCATCGCGTTCGGCGGGGCGAGCGTTCGAGCGTTCCCGAAAGTTCTCTCCCTCGCGATGGTATCCGCGATAATTCGACGCTAAAACGACCGACGGTGAATTAAGTACATAGGTCACGTCACACGTTGCGTAACGTGTGTGGCCAAACCGCGTCGGTGTTAATAACTACGTCGAAACATTTACCTTCTCTTGCTTTCAGAGAATTCACGACTCCGGAAACGTGCACCTCCACCGACGTTACGTCGCCTCGCCTGCGGAGGCCAGCCAGCGCGACCGCGTCGCACAGCGCACTCACGACTCACGTCTCACCTAGCGCGCTTTGGCGTCGTGCCAGTAGACTCTTTCACTTCGATCACGGAGTGATCGCTTAAGGCCCTGTGCACAATGGAGGAAATATTAGGAACAGGGGCTCTATTCTTGAAAAGCAACGTATACGAAAGTCTAGGGAAATGCTACAGTATACGTTACATATGCTATAGTATTTCCTAGGCTTTCGTATACGTTTCTTTTCAAGAATAGAGCCCCAGGAATAGATATTATGGCCCGTATTCAGAACGCGCTTACAATGGGTG